TATCATGATTGTTCCACACATACAGTTCGAGGAAAATATCATGATTGTTCCATACATACAGTACGAGGGAAATATCATGATTGTTCCACGCATACAGTACGAGGGAAATATCATGATTATAGATGGTCAATTTTTGCAAATAAGATCCTTTTATGAAAATCTGTTGGAATCAAGCAACAGACTTTGTAGATAAAACTTTCAAAGACCCAGAATGTTTGATATAATATTTATAACTAAATACATTTTCAATGATGGGGAACTGGTTTGTGGGCAGCTGGTTTATAGGGTACTTGAGGAGACTTTAATCTGTATTTTTTACTTTTCTATATATTATATAACTTAATATTTTGTATTTTGAAATACTAAGTTATATATTTTTTATCAATTTATTTATTCACTTTTTCATTAAATAATTATATCATTCATTGAATCTTTTGTTAACTTTTTGCTATAAGTAAAATGCATAATGTTGCATGACTGCAAAAAAATATTTCGTTCCTTTCTCAAAAAACGTACAATATGAAAAAAAGTAAGCAACTAAATTTACGTTTTTAATTGAGCAAAAACAACTTAAATTGGAATTTTGAAGATTTTGTTAAAAACTATGCATATGAGTTCTTGCTCAGAACCAAGTGGTGCGAGGTTTAATGCTTTCTTTGACCAGATAATCAACATCGGTAGGGAAGAAGGCATGAAACTCCTAGTTAAATGGGGTGTTTATGTGATAAGACAATTAGAACTTCTTGGGGCACCAAAAAAACCATAAAACATTACTCTGAACTAGGTACTTTTTAAGCTTAAAAGGTTAGGTTTTAAGCAATGTTCAAGTTATCAAACTCTTAAAATGATACGTGAAAACCATTTAAGAAAATTATTGCATTAAAAAATAAAAATCTTTAAGACTTATAGATTTTTATTTTTCAACGCAATAATAGAACAGTGCTCAAAAAAGTACGAAGTTGAAAGTAATTTTTTATTTTATGGTATGGTATACTTAGTATTAAAACAGAAATAAGTTTTTTGTTAAAATACTTACTCAAAATACGTGAAAATTAAAACAAATCTTAATAAATAAAGACAATTGTCCGACAACTTTTTTAAATAAGAAAATTTATTAAAATATTTTATTACAAAATTAAAATAATCTATTATCGAAAATATTAATGAAAAATAAAGTGTTTTGAACTTTATTTAGGATATAGAAGATACTTCTGTTAAGTCAATGAAAGCAAAAAATTTTAAATTTTCGGTACAGAATAGTTGCTTTATTTAACTAATCAATCACTTTGTTGACCTTGGATCCATTTTTTAAGTCGATGTTGACCCTGGATCCATTTTTAAATTATTATCTGGCTAAAATTTAAAAAAGAAAATTCTATATTTTAAACAGAAAAGTAAGGTTATCAGTAAATTTGCAACGACTTCTAAGCAAAATTATTGTCATAAAGTTTAAAAATTATGACAATAATAAAAGTTTCTTCTGTTAACATGTTTATAAAGTGAAACCATAATAAACTAGATGATCATTAGTAATCAAATTTTTTTTTTTTAATGAAACTTTATGTATTCTACAAAAAGAAAGTAGATAAGTTTGTGTAGTCTATGCTTCATTTAAAATTATATGCACATGATGAAATTGCAATTAATTAAAATTAATCCCTGAGAAAAATTGCCGACAACCTAACAAGCCAACGGGCTAACAAGCCAACGGCCTAACAAGCAAACGGCCTAACAAGCAAACAGGCTAACAAGCAAACGGGCTAACAAGCAAACGGGCTAACAAGCAAATGGGCTAACAAGCGAACGGGCTAACAAGCAGGATGCTGTTATCATTGTTACTTGCAATGATTGAAATATTAGAAATAAATCTAAATCTGGAAAAAAGTTTTATGGATATTTAACTTTAATTTTTTTTACCTAAATAAATTAACTATTTTCATTAAAAACCAAGTTTTTAAAGTATAAAAATATTTGATATTTTTTGTATTATTAGTTGATGGCTCAAGTCATGTAGTATTGTATGTAGTCATGTAGTATTGTATGTAGCAATGTATATTTCCATTTATTTTTTACCTAGTTGCTTTTAAGTAGTATGGGTACGAAATTCCCTTGCAAAAACTTAAACTAAAAATAATGTCACATTTAGCAAACATCCAATTATCTTTTTTTTGAGCACTGTGAAAACGGCAAACCTAATACTTTTATAATTTCCTACACCAGATTAAAAATTATCGACACATTAAAAATTTTATCAAAACAAATTTAAGCATGAGATATTTTACTTGCAAAATTTAAGAACAACTTAAAAATCAAACAAAAAAAAAAAGTTTTTAAAACCTCATAACACCAAAATACTTATAAAAAAAGTTCAAATAATTTTTATCAAATTGAAAAAGTGAAAAAGGTTTTTTAAAAAATCCGTTTTAGTAAAGTTTTGCTGGAAAAAAGAGCCGAATAAATTTTAGATTTTAAATTACTAGACTCCGCTTACCAACATTTGTAAAAGGAATATTTTTCTTTTCTACTTTAAGAATTGCAATTTTTACATTTTTACTTTTTTATATTAAGAATTGCATTGCAAAAAAATCCTAAAACCAGCAACACATTGAAACCAGCAACACATTAAAAGCAGCAACTCATTGAAACCAGCAACTCATTGAAACCAGCAACACATTGAAATCAGCAACACATTGAAACCAGCAACTCATTGAAACCAGCAACACATTGAAATCAGCAACACATTGAAACCAGAAACTAATTGAAACCAGCAATTGATTGGAATCAGCACCTGATTGAAACCAACAACTCATTGAAACCAGCAACTCATTGAAAACACAACTCAAAAAGAGCGATTTCACATTTTCATCAATATGAATAAAAAAAAAAACTTGAAATAATAAAAAATTTTCGTTTAATTTGCTAACATATTTTAAGTTTCAAAAATTATCAAAATAAAAATATTTAAGATATTCAGAGATCATCTTGATTTCTTTTATATAAAAGTTTTTTTTTAAGTTTTATCAAAATTGTTTCCAAAATCAAAAATATTGGCTTTATGTTATCATGTTCAATGCTAACTGTGTAATGCTACAAGCTGAATTTCTAATTATTTAAACATTTAAACATTTCTAATTAGCGAAACAATTAAACATTACAACAGCAACTATTCCCCTGTCAACTTATGCCCTTTAGATGAAGAAAAAACTTTTGATAGCTGTAACTGGGATATCCTATTTGATAAAATATATTTCGATTAAAAGTTACCACTCTGTATAGTTAACACTATCTCTTCGTTATATAACAATAGTAGTGCAACAGTCTCATATCAAGGTTGTAAATCAAACTCTTTTCTTCTAAACCAAGGTGTAAGACAAGGATAGTTTCTTTCACCTCATCTCTATTACATTTACACTGAAAGTCTTCTTGAATTTATTAAAAATTGAGGTATTGTCGGCGCATGTATTTATGGTAACTTTACTGGTATAGTAGCATATGCGGATGATATCATGCTTTTAAGCTCTACCCTCTCTGGTCTCAAAAAGCTGATAAAAACATGCAATATTTACAGTAATTTATATTCTAATAAAATAAATACCAAAAAATCTAAGTTCTTGATTTCACGTAAAACACAAATACAAACCAATACGATAACGATTTCTAGTAATAAAAAAAAATCTTCAGAATAAAGTTAAACTTCTGGGATTTGCATGTGATACTAAATACTCAATTTTCGCTTTCCTCAGTTATACAAATGGTAATGAAAAAAGCTGTTGTTCAAATTCTTATTAAATCAAGAATCCGGTTTGCCCACCCTAGTTCTATTTCCTATATATATAAATTATTGGCAGTCCCTACTTTAACTTATGGTATGGAGCTATGTGAAAATAATTCGACTTTGAATGAAAAAGCTAGATATAATTGCAAAAAGTGCGCTAAAATCGCTTTAAATGTTGCCAAATACACTAAGAAAATATCTAAAATCCATGAAATTTCAAAAAGTATTCAACAAAATAAATTAAACTTGTTTCTTCGTCTTCTTAATAATAAAACAACTGCAGACATTGTCTTTTCACAACTGAAACACCCTTTATTTCAACATTAGTTTGTTAGCAATACCCAGGGTCTATGCCGTTTTCAGATGTTAAATTTTTAAAACTTAATTCAAAACAAAAGTAGTTAAAAATAGCACTAAAAGTGAAATTCCCTCTGAAGTTGAACAAACTTTGAAGAATGCAATAGAGGTCTGGAATGCAAAAGAACAAACAAGAATTTTAAAACAAATTCTGGAGGAATAAATTCTTAAGTGAAAATCACGAGAAATAACTTTCTTATTTTTCTTTTTACCTTGTAAATTATATTAGGTGTTAAATGTAATAATAATAATTGTAAAACTAAAGCAATTTGAAGTTTGCTTTTAATAACTTTTTTAGGTTTCTTATTTTCTGTTTTTAAGTTTTGAAACTTTATTTTTACATTTATGGATTTTTATTATCATTCAAATCAACAATAACTACTTGAAAAGATTTAATGTCTTCACATCATCAAGCCTGGGTTGGCAGACTTTATCACATCATCAAGCCTGGGTTGGCCGTCTTTATCACATCATCAAGCCTGGGTTGGCAGTCTTTATCACATCATCAAGCCTGGGTTGGCAGGTTTGCCAAAAAGTTTTGTTTATATAGTTGACAAAAAAGCTACGCTCGCTATAAGCATCGAATCATCGCTATATGTCAAAATAATTTTTTTTTTGACAAATTATAACTTGCGAAAACATTGTTTTTATTTTTACTGAGAATTATTAATAATTGAGAATAACGGAGAGTTATTTATTTCAAAGCTACTAATTTAGTAGCTTTGAAATAAATAATTGAGAATAACGGAGAATTATTTATTTCAAAGCTAATGACAAAAACTATTAAAGTTTTTAACTTTAATAGTTTTTGTTGATTATTTTAATTTATTTTAGGGAAAGATGTAGAAAAAAATAAACTAGTCAGTAGTCAACGATTTGTTTAAAAATATATTAAATAAAGATTACAACTGCTTTTTGCATACAAAAATAATAAAATAAATGTTTATATTTCTCATTTGCTATAACCATATCCACCGTATCCGCCATACCCACTATATCCACCTCCGTATCCTTCATTTTTTAATTGATCGTTATTTCTGAGTAAATAAAAACTTTGGGTTATTAAAAAGTTCATTATAATTATTAAAAAGTTTTTTAGAAAAATCATACATTTCTCTTTTGCCGTAACCATATCCTCCATATCCACCATAACCACCGTATCCACCTTCATATCCTTCATTTTTTATTTGGTCATTATTTCTAAGTAAATAAAAACTTTGGGTTATTAAAAATTAATTAAAATTTGTTAGTTAAAAAAAGCTTTTAAAAAATTATACGTTTCTCTTTTGCCGTAGCCATATCCTCCATATCCACCGTATCCATATCCGCCATATCCACCTCCGTATTCATCACTTTTTTCTTTGTCTTCATTTCTACATTAAAGATATTATACAGTTTAATGCTGGATTAATAATATAATATAAATTTAAATAAAACTTACATCTCTCGTTTGCCATAACCGTATCCGCCATATCCACCTCCATATTCTTTACTTTTATCTTGGTCTTTATTTCTATTTAAAAAAAAAACTCGTTATTTATTAAAAAAATTTATTAAAATTATTAAATAACTAAAGAGTTTTCCTAATATTTTACGTTTCTCTTTTGCCGTAACCATATCCTCCGTATCCACCATATCCACTGTATCCACCCCCGTATTCATCACTTATATCTTCGTCTTCGTTTCTAGATCAAAAATACTATACAGTTCAATGTTGCATTATTAATATGATGTAAACTTAAACAATAAAACATACATCTCTCGCTTGCCGTAACCATATCCTCCATATCCACCCTTTCCTTTACTTTTATCTTGGTCTTTACTTCTATGTAAAAAAAAAAAAAAACCTCAGGTAACTAAAAAAGTCAATAAAATTAAAAACCATTTAAAATAACTTTTCAAATATATTACGCTTCTCTTTTGCCGTAACCATATCCACCATACCCGCCGCCGTACCCTCCACCATAATCACTCATCTTATTTAAAGATGACATTTCGCTTTTCTAAATTAGAAACGCGTTTATATTTTTAAACAATTTTATCAATTAAAAAAAGCATAATTAAGATCAACGGATTTGAAAATACAAATTTAATAGAAAAATAACTCATTAATCACATATCGCAATACCACAAATACATTTTAAAATATTCAATTATAAACATAACGGTAACAAAATAAAATTCAAGCTACTTCGTAATTGTATTCATCTTCGTTATCGTTGTCTTTATTCCTAAAATGATTTTAATTCATCATATATAGCAATTTGCAAATTTAAAAGCCAAAAATGTTTTATTAAAAATTAAAGGTCGTGCTTACATTATATCCGCAACAATGTTATCTTTTGCATGTTTGTTCGGAGCTGCTTTGCATAGCTAAACAATAAACCATAATTATTCCATATAACGATATAATTTTTATCTAACCATATATTAATAATATTTGTTTCAAACGATGACATTTATTACACACAGTGTTATTTATTTACGCAAAAAGTTATAAAATGTAAACTTACAAAAACTTGAAAAAGTATCGTCAAAGTAACTAGACCGCTAAGATGAACCATTTTTTCTTGAACACAACTTTTGTTTGAAGTTTTACCCTTTTTATACAACTCATTAACCCATTATCGAAATTACCCAAAATGTATTTATTAAACCACAAATATTCAGTAATGAGGAAATGGTAAAAAATCCAACAAAAGAAGTTCCAGAGTTAGTTGAAAATATCATTAAGAGAGATTAAACCATTAAAACACCCACGCAAAAATTTCACATACTTTTGCAGTTGTGCGTTTTTGAGTGGGACATTTAATGATGAATTAATTTTATGTATTTTAAATGTATTTTTTTTTTTTTTATATTAAAATGTTATAATCGCATTTTTAAAAACATGTTAAAATGTTTTACTATTACAAGTTGCAATGCTTTATTCTTAACTTTGCTTAAAAGTACAAATTTAATCTAAACTAAATTTTAATAATTTTCAAACCTCACTTTGTTTACGAGGTTTTATAAGCTAATGGGTAGTCAACTGTATTAGTTATTCATCACCTCAAAATCAATAAACTTTATATTTTTACATTGACGTTATACCATACTCAATAACGCGTAAGACCAGTAAAGGACGTACAACGGGCATTTTACCAACTTCGTTTAAAAAGAGCAGGGCTTTAGGAACTCTGAAATAACAAACGTACTTTAAATCAATTTTTATTTATTTATTATATTATAACATAAGCATTTTATGAAAATAATAAGTAGGAAAAGTTATTCGTATTATTAAAATTAAAACGTATTACTGCGTTAAAACTTTATTATAAGTTGAATAATTTTTTTTAAAACATCTTTTATAGCATTTTTCAATTTTTGACTTAACAATGTATAGCGGAATTAAATAGTGGAAACTTTTATAAGTACAAAATACTATAAAGAAATAATAATTGAAATTAAATGAAGCGAGTAAATACCTTTTAATAGGTACTTTAGAGTTGAAATATTTTGTTTTTCGTTCACAAGAAATTTTTTACATCCATTACCAGTTTAAATAAAAATTATAAAGAAAAAAAAAGCGGAAAACATCCCCTATCCTCGCAACAAATCACTCCTTACAAAATCCTTAAAATAAACCTTTATATTCCTTACAATGAACCAAATGTTTCATCAAATTATTTTTCTAAATCTTATGGAAAAAATTTTAATTTATCACGTTGAAAAATAGAAAACAAAAACTCTAAGCAGGTAATAATCTTTTTACGTTGGTCAACAATTAATAAATTAAGAATCAATTACCCATGATTTTAATTCTTAATTCCAATTTTTAAGTAGATAGATTCTTACCCTTAACAATAATAAAAACAGAAGGTAAAATCTTCTGTTTTTATTATTGTTTAGGGTAACTTAATGTTACACCCACGACACCACATCAACAAAAAGACATTAATTTAAAAAAGCGATTGTTTAGGGTAACTTCATCTTATTTTGCCCATCAGTCAAACTCGCTTATAAGGAGTCAAAGATAATATACTATCTTTGACTCAGGGTTGTCAAAGATAGTATACTTTCTTTGACTCAGGGTTGTCAAAGATAGTATACTATCTTTGGTTCAAAGATAGTATACTAGTTTGGGTCAAAGATAGTATTTTAGGGACAAAGATAGTATACTATCTTTGACTCAAAGATAGTGTTTAAGAAATATATGTCAATAAAATTCTGTTAGTTTTTGGTAAATTTTCCACCTAATTTGCCAATTTCAAACTAGCTTATCTAACTCAACCGAGTTAGTATGTTGTTGGGTATTTTAAGTTAAAATTTAATTTTATTGCCTATAGTTTAATCTGTTAGTATAATAAAGTTTATTTAGTTTGAAATTGTAGGCTATGCTTAAAATTTTTTTTCCCCCAACCTAATTTATGTCAACAGTTACAAAACAAGATGATGATTTTAATGTGAGAAACTATACCAATTTTACTAAAACAAAATAAAATCGTAGACTCATAACATCAAAATTGAATTCTGCTGAAATTTTAAGTTTTCAGTTTACAAATACTTCCTACCCTGGTAAGTAAATCATTCCATGAAATCATTATTAATTTCATAACAATAATGCAAACAACTTTAAGTAAATTAAAAAAATAATATTTTGAACTTACTTGAATATATGTATATATATTGTATGTGTTTTTTTATTAAAAAGCTGTGCAGATAATGGAGATAATGATGTCTTGTTCAGTTAATGGAGATAATGATGTCTTGGTATACCCTGAGGCCATTCATAAAAAAACATAAATTCTCTGTTTTAACTTCTCAAGAAGCATTTTCAGCAAAACTAAAATATCACAGAACAAAATCTAACAGGAAAGAAAAATAACAACTACGGCTTATTAATGCTATTAAACGACTCAAAAAAAAAAAGCTGTTTTGGCTGAGAAAAAAAAATTAAATCGTGGGAAAATGATTAAAACACTAAATTCAACTATACTTTTTTGTTTGCATTAATTGTGAGAACAATTCTGACTATACTCATTCTTTGTAAACTCTTCATATCAGTGACTATTTCTATAGTTAATGTATTTGTTTCTATAGTTGATGTATTTATTTTTATAATTGATATATTTATTTTTATAGTTGATGTATTTATTTCTATAGTTAATGTATTTATTTCTATAGTTGATGTATTTAGTATCTTAATATAATTTGTGGTTAAATGTTTTACTAAATATTACTTTTTTAATGACATTTTTATAGATTACAATTTATTAGATACTATAAGGTGAAATTCCTGAATACTATTTTGCATTATTGGTTCGAAATTTTGATTGTTTGTTACCTCCATAATTCGTCATATTTTATTACTTCATAATACGTAATATTTTTCTACGTCATAATACGTCATATTTTGAAGTTCTTGAATAAAGTAGCTTTAAAGTAATAAAAGTTCAATGAATTGAGTTTAATCTCAGCACCGGGTTCAATGAATTGAGTTTGATCTCAGCACTGGGTTCAATGAATTGAGTTTGATCTCAGCACCGGGTTCAATGAATTGAGTTTGATCTCAGCACTGGGTTCAATGAATTGAGTTTGATCTCAGCACTGGGTTCAATGAATTGAGTTTGATCTCAGCACCGGGTTCAATGAATTGAGTTTGATCTCAGCACTGGGTTCAATGAATTGAGTTTGATCTCAGCACTGGGCGAGGGAAAATTCATGATGTTTAACATTTGTATCTTCCAAACGCACCTAGTGGAGCGTTTGGAGCCTACAAATTACTAACGAGGTTTAATCTCGCACACCTGTATATAATGTCGCCCAGTGAATGAGTTTGAGTTCAAGTGGGGAGGTTCACTGCTTTTGACACCCTTTACAGTTTTTAATGTTGATGTCAATATATAATTTTTATTTGTCAAGATGCTTTTATAGTTGTTGCAACCAGTTTCTGGCGTAGTTGTTTCAAATAATATTTATCATTAAAAAGACCACGAAAATAAATTAAACCATAAAATTGGTTATTTTAATTAAATTGCTTAAGTACCACGTCAAATTTTTTTTTTCCTTTTTTATTTTCATTTATTATTATTAGTGATAAAAAAAACAATAAATAAAATAAATCTGTTTTGTAAAAAGTAAGCCACCACCAAGTTAAAGTCAACACTCGGCTCACTTTGGGAAATGTTCTACTTATATTCAATAAAATTATTTGCAATTTAAAAAATATCAAAACTTTGTCATTTTTTTTGGGAAAAACAAAACAAATTACATTTTCATGGTTTTATCTAAGTATTGCAAAATAGAACAGAACGTCCCTTAAAATGCTATTTTCGAGTCATAAATTGGTATAATATCAACAATTACACAATTTTTAAACGAGTTTTCATTTTTTGTGGGGAAAAGGATATTTTTTGCAATGTTTTAAGATATAAAATATTATATAAAATCTAATACAGATAGAGTATTTATATTAGACATATATTTAGCTTCTTTTTCAGACTAAATTTAAATATTAAAAATTAATGCAAAATGTGGATCTGGGAAACCAACAAGAAAAAGAATACATAATATTAAAACTCAATATGAAAGTGAAAGATATGCTGGGAAACCAAATTAACTACCTGTTAGTGACCTCCCAACATATGAAGAGATTATTCAATATGCATATAAAGGTCGAAAAAGAAATGATTACAACTAAAAAAATTGATTCAGCTGCCATAGTTTTAAAAGTAAGTGAAGAAATTTTAAAAATTTGGAAAAAAGTGAATCCAAATCTTCCATTGATGAAGGAGAAATCTCTAAGAAATAAGTTACAAAGAACATTTCAAAAAGTAATTGCAGCTGAACGATTTAAAGCTTCAAAACATAAAAATAGCATTGAGAGTAGAGAGTAAAAGAAACAAAAATACATTAGCACATATATTAGGATATGATCATTTTGCAAAACCTATTATTAATAGAACAGTAAACGATGAACATCACTAAAAATACTCGAAAAGTACAACAGCATTAGTAGTTTGGAAGCCATTTTTCTTGATAATATTTCTGCTAATATTGGTGCAGATAATGGCTTAGTTGCGAAATTAGAAAGGCTTTTAAACCAACGAATCCATTTAAAAGGATGTGTACTTTACCAAAATGAGTTACCACTTTGCAATGTCATGGCGAAGTGGTAACTCATTTTGGTATAGTTCACATGGTAAAAATGATGGTAAAAATAACGATCCAAAGAAATATAAGGGCCCTATTGGTCAAAAAGCTTCTGCAGGTGATTTGCATGATTTACCAATAGTCGATTTTGTTCCAATTCATTCAGAGATTGATTCCTACGTAAACTCTAATATTTTATCTGATCTTAGTAGAGATCGACGTAAAATTTATGAATACTGTATTGGAATATCTAAATTAAATATTTTGGAGATATATTGGCATTATATCTCCAAAATATTTAATGAAAAAACCAGGACCTGTTTACCATGCCAGATGTTTGACTTTATCTTTAAGAATAATGATGGTTTATACAAAAGTGAATAATCCTACAGATGAGTTGTGCGCAAATACAAAGTATTTAGTACAAGTATATTGCTCCATGTGGTTTCCCCATAAAATGTTTTTGTCTTTATAAAGATGCTCCCAGACTTCTTCATAAGACAATAGACTTTGTTAAAAATCAGGCAGACAAAATACAACAAATTGTTTTTCAAAAT